CTGCTGGGTGACCTGGGTCTGTCTGCCCTGTTCAGTGGGGTCCCACTGGGACAGACTCCCTGGAGCAGCTCCAAGAGAGGCACTCCTTCCCACTCTAAACTCAACATAGGTGAGGAAATACAGTGATTGCAGGTCTGTTCTGTTCCTCCCATCACTAAGCAATGAGTAGGTATTTATTAGACTTCAAAACCTGTAGCTCACCTCTCCTACATCAAGAGTCTTCCCAGCAGAGCTCAAAGGTAAATGGGCTAACAAATGACTCTGTGAGGAGACCCTCACACAGGTTAAACGTGCTCCTTTTTAATCAGCTGCTAAGTTGTGTGAAAAACTGATATGTGCCTGTCTTCATGGCTTTCTGGTCATGACAGGGAGAGGACTCTGAGCAGTTCTGATGTCTCTTCTAGAGAATGAGAACCCCTGGGTGTTCCCCTGATCATTAGCTAAGGAGGTTGGAGCTGAGTGCTCTGTATGCAGAACTATCCCCACACTCCGTGGTCCAGCTCCTCCCCAGGTCACTGGCATTCACTGTCAGGCAGTAATGATTTTGCTTGGAATCTTGGTCTGTAGGGGGAGAGGCGTGCCAGGAGGGATGAGTTCATTTCTGTGTGTATGGTGAGGAAAATATATATTTGGAAGGGTCTGCATATTGCCCAATGCTGGATCAGGGCAGACAGTGAAAATAGAGTCGCTGTCTCCTGTACTTCATTGGTATTCTGGAGGCAGCTGGACTAGAGACTGCACAAAATTATTTTCAAACAGGAATTACAATTGGAAAGGCAAAAAGAGAGAGATGGAGAGACTTTGGGGGGCATTTGTCAGCTGACAGCCTCAAGGTTGTATTCAGGCTGCCTTGCTGATGACAGAATAAACACAAGAGAACCTGAAACAAATGGTGCTTCATGGATCAAAACAACTAGGTTCTGCCACAGATATTTAGTGGTAAAAGGCTTTTCATTGTGGAAAGAAGGAGTGATCCCAATCTGAATCCACAATAAATGGAGAAACAAGACTCTCTCCTGCTAAACACAGATTGGCAGGGGAGTGCTGGTTGGGGTAAACCCTGCACATCCTTCTACAGCCAGATTTATGCAACAAAGTAGCAATGCCTTACGTGGTGAAGCCCCATTCCCTTCATGTCTGCTATTGGGCTGATAGACACGATTCTTAATTCTGCCAAATTTGTCAGTCTTGACCTGCGAGCCTGATCTTCGGGAAATTCTATTCATTGCTGAATAAATAATGCATGGGCAGTCATGCATTTTTCATGCAAAGACTTTTAAAGGCCACTGTAGTGATGCATGTAAATTCAATTTCTCCCCCCTCCCTCTTTCTCTGCACACTCAACTGCTAAATAATTATTAACATCTGACTCTCAACATGGTGAGGGCTGCACCAGCCAGAGAATCCACTGTTGCTCTGACACTGCTGCCTCTGCTCCACCCTCCATAAAGTAGAGATAATTCCAGGCAATAGCAAAGCAATCTGTCTCTTTTCCTCCCCCTCCTCGCTTTTTTTTCAATTTCTTTTTTTTTTTTTTTTTATAGGGCTCTATACAAAAACACATGTGCATGAAGTGGAGCAGAACAAAGGGACCGGCTTGTGGATTTGACATTCTTCTGGAAGCACATTAATCCCTTCCAGAAAAGCAAAGCTGGTGCCTTTATTTGTAGCCGTTGGCTAATCTGTGTGTGAGGGAACTGAGCGGGCTGGGGCTCGGGGAGGCTTCATCAGGCGAGCGAGTGACTGAAGGGCTGCGACGGGAGGAGGGGGAAGCAACGCTGCTAAACAAGGGCTTAGGAAACAAAGCCAGAAAGCAAATATGGCATGACGGAGGTCAGGAGTGGGAATGTTAAAACCCCCCAGGTTAACTCCCTTCACGTCGGTGCTGGTTGCGGGTGAGATGAGGACAAGAGCTCTGTGGGGCTCAGGGATGCTGCAGGTGAGGCTGCACTGAAACACAGCTCAGCTCTCCAGTGGGTCTTCACAGTGAGAGGACTGTGATGAAGAAACCAGTGGGGTTTCTCCCAGCTCCAGGTGACATTGGTGAAGCAGAAAGGATCAGGAAAATCCCCCTGTGCCATCCTGTCTGCTGGATGAGATTCATCAGGCAACTCTGGTCCCGTTTTTGGGGAGGGGATGAGGTAGAGAGCCTCCAAATCTTCATGAACTTAACCAAATTGCCACACCAGCCTTGCAGAGATGGACCAGACAGACTGCTGAAGTAATAAGTATGGAATAGACGAACTACTGAAATGCATTCCAGCCTCTATCCCCTGGGAATCAAGCTGCAGTTTTACTTAAGAATTCAGGATCTGCTGCAGCAAAGTCGAATAGCCAGGAAGTACAAAGGGATGTGTAGAGGACATCATTTTGGGCATCAGCATGTCAATGTTAGTATAAAGAGTAAAAGATAAAACACCTGGATTTTGAGCACTTTCAGACCCATTGGCAGGAGCAAAACGCTAATACAGTTGCTGCAATCATGTCTGTACTTAAATAATTTCACCTATAAAGGCTTAAAGGTGATGATTAATGCATGCATTTTCCTGGTTTGTTTACACACTAACATTTTGGGCTACTAAGTCCCCGGTCTGGCAAAGAAAAATATCACGTTTCCCACCAAAACTATATTTCAGCACAGTCAGTAAAATTACTCAGATGCTTAAATTAAAGCGTATGCTTAAATGCTTTGCTGCCTTGGGACCTAGTTTTATCATTATATGCTTAACTTGATGACATTTCAGACCTAAAATCTGATGTTCAATCAGGGTGAAACAGATTGCAGAGTTGTTTGCTTCAGAGCTTTTTGGGCTCTTCTTATGAAATATGTGAAGCCATTCCACAGGTCAGAAGAGGTGAGTTTGCTTGTTCAAAGGGCTGCTCACAAGAGAAGGGCACAGGACTGACTACTTGCATGGAGAATTGCATTAGTCTTATTCAAAAATAGCAAGAGAAGGAGTTGGGGAGGCAGGAGAGAAAGGAGATGTGAAGATGAGTGCTGAGGTCTATCCCCTGCTCTTGTCTTAGGGGATGTCATCTGTATATAAGAGCCTGGTCTTCTGTAGTAATTGTAACATGAAGAAAAGAAATTTATCCAGATGCAATTTAATGCTCATCTCTAAAATTGAAGCCTGCACTGAAAGATTTTGGCTAAAGCCACTCACAAAACACATGCATACACATATAAACCTATTTCAAATTCTCCTCTCTGGTCTGAAAAGCATTTTGAAATACAGATGAGAGCTGACTGCAAGCACATCTAGAGAACATGGAGAGAAATCTATCTGAGACAAATTGTGGAAATGAAATGCCCATCTTTACAAATCAATGCCAGAGAGTCCCTGGTGAGGAGTATATAGATCATTTAAAAGACCTCTCATCCTGTTCACTAGGATTCAGCTCCAAAGTACACTGGCTGATGTGGGGTGTTATTAATAGTGTTGGCATTAGGGAGTCAGTCACTTGTACATCGTCCATGGGCTTCTCTTGTCCCTTTTATTTTAGACTTTCATTTATAGGCTGGTAATAGATTTGCATTTAGATGAGAGTAAAACTGGTCACAGTAAGGATGGAAAGGGAAGAAGGCCCCTTATTGATCCTGATAGCGAAGTCTTCCCCTCAGCAGGCTATTTTAATTGACAACAAAAATGACAAATTGCCCAATCTGTTCAGAAAACCCTCTTCTTGGTTTGAAATCCTGTGCCATGTCATGGTTTGCCCTGCTCTCATGGTGCTGCTCTGTCCATGTCCCTCCCTCCCTCCTGCAGCAAATCTGGGCTGTGGTTTGTGCAGTCGCAGGGGGTGGGCTGTGCCAGCGCCTCTGCTAACGCAGCCCCTCCTCTCCTGTGTGCAGATCCACACTCTGAGACAAAGGTGCCTCCTTTGAACCGAGCCAACCCTTTGCTAATGTGCCAAACCTCCTTTCCAGCCAAGTCCTCCTTTCCGGCTGCCTCGGAGCCAGGCTGTGCATTCCCTGTGAGGGGGAGCCCAGGCTCATTTCAGGAAACCCACATGTCGTCGGCTCCTGCATTCAGCACAGTTGTCAATCTTGGTAATGAAGAGGCTGAGGACTGGGGTGGAAAAGCTGTTAAATAAATCATAGTCATGCTTTGCATTTTGATAGGTGTTTTTCATGTCTAGCTCACAGAGTGTCTCATGGATGGAGGGAAGTATCATTGTTCTTCCTTCACAAGTGGCAGAAGAGAGACCTGCTGAGATCAAACAGCTGACTCAAGGTCAGCCTCCAGCCAGTGACAGATGAAAGGTTCCAGCCTTCGTCTCTTGCCCAGGGAGGTGGTGGGGAGGTTTGAAGAGCTGATCATTTGGAAGAAGGGCCAGGTGTGACTTCAGGAGCAGTGAGTAGTTGCTGTGCAGTCAGGCTGAAAGGGCAGCCCTGTCAGGGTGCGACGCAAGGGTTTGATGAAGCACCACAGAAGCTTCCAGCAAAAGCCCCATGGATATTTTTTCCATCCTGCAAGGATGCAGGCTGAGACTATAAATTGCAGAAGCTTCCCTCTAGTCGTCATGTGAATCTTTGCTCCGTGTGTGTGAGGGATGTGATTAGAGACAAACTGTCCTGGTAACACAGCATACAGGGACCATGATAAAATGCTCTGACAACACAGGTAATTTTCTGTAGGTGCAACTCTCTCCTCCCCAGTCCTTACACCTTTTAGGTCTTGCTTTCCACTCCACTTGTGCCATTGTTATATCAGCACCCCAACATTCATGTGGATAAGCTGAAAATCCCTCTGTTTCATTGAAAACTGGCAGCAGGATGGAGATACAAATGCAATGGCAGCTCTGGGTACAGCCTGCTTTTTGGGCATGGATGGAGAACTCTCCCCATCCTGCTACTATTGCCCCCACCCCCAGGAAAATCAATCCTCCTCTTCTTTTTGTCTGGACCAACCTCAAATAGCTGCACCCTGTTGCTAGGCTACCTGGCTGCCTTCCACACATCCCAGAGCTGCTGGAAACCTCACATCAAATTGCAGCTCACATGTTGGGTTATTTTTATCTTTCTGGGGAGATGGGGGATGAATGGACAGCGGAAGGAAGGAAGGAAGATATTCAAGGGCTTGGATCCTCTGGTCAATGGGTAATTTGGTACGTGTCTGAAAAAGCGTGTGAATACGAATGTGTGTGTTTCTGCTTCCTTAAATAGGTAGAAGATGTGCGGGATCATAATGAAATATCTGGCTGGCTAATGAATATCAAGTGACACCTTTTGTGCTATTTTGAATCCTTGATAATTTGTCTTGTGTTCTGCAACAGCCAGAAAAGAGCTGGAAACAGCTTCACAAAGTGCACTGATGCACCAGAAAACCTGTGAAGGGCTGACAAGTGCGGAATAAAAAGCTCTTGGCATTTATACAGCCATGAGATCCTTACATGTGGCTTGGATTCAGATGATCTCATCATGAAGAAGGCAAAAAGATGGGGCAGGAAAGTGAAAAATGGTTGCAGAGAAATGATTCCCATCCCCCTGGGAACAAGGACTGTACTCCCTTGTCCTGAGCCACCTGTGTTACCCAGCCCTGGGAAATGCTGTGAGGGTTCCTGGGCTGCTGCACATGGCAAACTCTGAGCTGGAGGACCCAGCAGATGAAACAGGAAATCCATGAACATGCAGGATCTTATGGACCACCTTACCTGTTCTAAGGACCTTGTCTATACCTCTGCTAATGCACAGCATTGTGTTTTCTTTTCTGCTTTTTTCCACAGCTGGTGAAACTGAGGCAGGCAGAATCTGGCTGCCAGCTGGCCACTGAGGCTGAGGAAAACCATGGCTGGATCCCATAAATACATCATGGTCCATGCCTCATTGAATTAAAAAGACCTAGAGAATATATCACCTCATTTCTTCCGTGTTGCTGCTGGGATCAGGGGCTTTCTGTACAGACCAGCAATAGACTGCAAGAAAATGAAGTTGCTTTGTGGTTTTCTCTATCCCTTTTCTTTCCATAAAATGTGCTGCAGTCATATGAGGTAAGAAACCCGCTGCAGCTCCGATCACCCTCACTGCTTTATACTGGGTTACAGAAAAGGCTTTTTGATTCTGTTTTCAGGTTCAGAGGAAAAAGAAAAAGACTTAAGAAGTGGCATTTTTAATCCTCTCTTTGTATTAACTGATGTCCTCAGTTGGAGAGTGGATGCAAACCACCAGATAACCTCTCCCTAACTGCAGCTGAGATGCCTACCTGGGACCAAAGCCTCCCAGGATAAGAAGAACACAGAGGGATTGGGAGAAAGCTGCTGGGAAATGGTCATTTCACAGGTAGCAAAATGATACACACACAGTTATTGCAGATAGGAGCTGCTGTTGAAAGGGGGAAAAAAGAAGTGAAAAAACTCCACTGCTTAGGATCCATTTAAACCTCACCCTCTAGAAACCATTCCCAGCAGAGACTGTTCTTTGCTTTCAGCCGAAGACGGATTCTCCCTTGAATCACAACTGCCAATTACATATGAAATAATTTCAAGCCATAAAATTGAGCCCAAATCAGGTTTCCTGCCCTCATTCCCTCTGTTCTCCTGAACATCAAACAGCCACTCGGGGCTGAGACCTGGCACCTCCCCACGGCGCCGGCAGGAGACGTTTGTTGGCAGTCGCAATCGTGGGCTCAATCAGTGACAAGGAGATTATTTCTATTTTCTCAGCAGCTGTTTGAAGGGAAATAATCCTGGAAGAGCCTAATGAATTAACGTTGTGAGAGTTATCTGAACTAATGAGAAGGAGTGGAAATGGGCTGAGGAAAAGGGGCTGTTTTTCAAAGAAATGTAGTGCCTTATTGGCTCTCTTTTGCTTTGGATGTTCAAAGGCTCTTTTTTTTTTTTTCTTACAGCAATTTATTTCCTGAGTGATTGAAGAACAAAAACAATTACAAACTGTACTATTTTCATTTTTTTCCTCTGAGCTTTCTCATTTTCACTTAGTGAGATGCTCAAACTGATGATGCTCCTTCCCATCCTCCCTTTCCCCTCCCCCTTCTCCAAGACCAGAACAACTAGAGACTAGCTAAAAACAAAACCAAACCAGAGCAGCAGAAGTCTTCTGCCCTATGCAGGGTTAGATATTGAGCCACAGCATGCTAGGAAAATTAAAATAAAGATGGAAAAGGAAAGAAAAAAGAAAAGCATCTCTCTGGTGCTTCTGAGATCAAAGGAGCAACCCTTGAAATTTGATGGTTGGGAACTTCTGAGAAAAGAGGTTGTTAAACTATTCCTGAATTCCGTGTCTGTTTTATCAGCAGGGAGACAGTGACATTGTTTGAACTAGATACTGACTTTTTCCCCACAGAGGTTGTGTGATGATTTCTGAGCGTGTTCCCCAAGGCTCAGGGTTTGCTGTGAGGGATCAATAGCAGGGGTGATGCTCGCACTTGAAGCACACGGCTCCGCAGATGCAGCCAAAGACCTGGGAGCTTCCTGCATTGCCCATGTCTTGGGCTTTTGCCCAAGCAGCCAGATACAGCTGTGGACCTCACACATTAGCTTGTGGTCAGCTCCCCACAATTCTTACACCTTTCTCTCTGGGTTTTTGGAAGAGGCTGGTGCTCCCCATTGAATCCCAGTTGACCACATTGCTTTGCTGCACAGTTGGTTACAGCATCAGGATCCAAATCTAAAGAGGTGTGTGCACATGTAAAGCTGCCTCTTCATTCACTCCAGGCTGATGGTGGCTGGTGCCCTGCCTGCTACACCCTATTTCATTGCTCCTCACCTTCTCCAGGGCTCACAACACAGCCTTGGCTTCCCTGCAAAATACAACTCTCTCTACTTCTCAGGTTTTTCTCTCTTCAACACACAAATTATTTCATAGGAAGATGTTTACTGTTTGCTCCTCTGCACATTAACACTGAGAACGCACAGAAAGGTTTACCCACTAAGATTAAGGGAAAGATTTGAAATGCAGCCCTGGATTTGAACCACCTCTCTCAGGGGCTGGGACTGATGCTGTGGACTCAGGTCTTCTTCTGGCATGAACTATGAAGGTTGGAAAGGAAAGTGTCCCCACCATCTGCCACCTGGTCCCCACTGCCCTTTGGCTGTGGCTGAGCTGCTGGTGTGGTCACTGCTTAATGACCTTCAATCAAAACACATTAAGCCAGCCAGGATCTGCTATTTAAAGTAGCTCCTCTCCCTTCACTGGAATAACCTAAAGAGCAACCAGATGAGCTCTTGGCAAGCAGAGGTGAGAGGCTGGTTCTGACCTGCTGGTGTGACAGTATTTATGGCATAGTAGCAGCCCAAGGGTTATAGACCTGTTGCTCACGTGTCCCTCCTCACAGGATATCCTATTGTTTGCACTAAATACATTTAATTGTTCATTTCCCATTGTTACTTTAGACAGTCTACACAAAGCTTCTGCCCCACGTGCCCTTCAGTTCACTCACACAATCCCAGGATGGGTCAGGTTGGAAGGGACCACAGTGAGTCACCTGGTCCAACCTCCCTGCTAAAGCAGCATTGTCCTAGAGCACATGGATTATGTCCACACGGTTCTGAAATGTCTCTGGTGAGGGAGACTCCATACCCTCTCTGGGCAATCAGTACGTGGTCACCCGCACAGGAAAGAAGTTCTTCCTCACGGATGTCTCTCTGCAGGTTCAGGCTGAGTTTTCCCTGTTTCAGCTGCTCTGAACTGTGCCTGTGCTCCAGCCCAGGAGTGCCACATGTGTTAGCACACTGCACTGAGCCAGAGGAACACACAAGCAAAGGCACTCCGGGACTGAGACCACAGTTAGCTTTGTTCACGTACAGAAAGGAGCAAAGGGACTGTGACATGGAAAGCGTCCCTGCCTCCCCAGGCTGCTGCAGTTTGGGGAGGGAATTTCAGAGGGAATGAGGTCAGTGGACCAGTACAAAAGCTCTCACGTTGCTCATAAAGCAGCATGTCCCGGTTTGTCTGTGTGTGTGTCCTGGGATGCCACAGTCTCCCTGGTGTCCTGCCCCTTTGCCCACAAGACCTGGAAGGCATCCAGAGCTGCTTCAGTGATAATTTTTCTGGCATGGCAGAGACTGGCAGGTGGTGCAGAACTAATGTGTTTACCAGTACTCACTTAACTCCAGTGCATGGAGGTGTGCTGGGAAGGGGAGAGGCATGACCTGAACACAGTGTGCTCTGAGTGCACAGAGCTGGTGGATGATCTCATGGGGGTCGTGGCCAAACAGGGTAAAACAGAGCAACCCCAGGCTGCTGTAAAGTGTGTAAGAGCTTTGTGAGGTCCAGATCTGCTCCAGGGCTCAGAAATCTCTAAATGGCATCCCATCTGCCTCCTTCACCTGACCTAATAATTAATAAAGCCTTCATCTTTTATCTGGGCAAATGTACATTACAGGAAGGAAAAAATAGCAGCAACCATCCATATGGAAAAGGATTTGGCAAGGCCTCCTCTGAATACTTGTTCTCTGCTTCTGCTTTACTTTACTGACGAAAGAAAGTCTCATATGCCAGAAATGTAAAAATAATGCATGAATAGCAGAAAGTAGCTTAAATGGTTAGAAATAGGAGTAAAACTGGTTGATGAAGGTTCATTGCTCAAAAGGAAATGAGTGAAGAAAATGTGAAGCAAAAGAAAGGGAGAAAAGTTGAAATGTAAAATCAAAGTTTAAAATTCCTGCCTCATTAACAAATCCATGGTGGGGAATTTGTTTAGAAAGAGATTAATGTTATGTTCTCTGTCTCTCTAAAATTATAGTTTGAAAATTACATGAAATATTCATGGAGGATGGGGAGGGAACCAACATCACCTTTGCTTTTCTGTTCAAATGAAACAAACCGAGGTGAAAAAGACAGGGAGTGACTGAAGAGCTTTTCATTCCAGGACAGTATGAAAAAAGAAAATTTTCCTTTCCTGTATTCAACGATTACAATGATAATGGCTACATAGGAACCTAGACAGAGAAATTTCCAACCCCTCTAAAATTCTCTGCAGCTTGCAATTACACATAGTCAAATTTATCGCAGATGCCAGATGGCACAGCTAGAATATTGGCAGGGATTTTTGAAAGAAAGGAGGAAAAATAGCTGGCCCGTTCCATGCCTTGCTTGCCTACCCTTCTCCCTCCCACCCACAATAACCTGTTCCTATTTTCTCTCTCGATGTAAATTTTTCTTCTTCTTTGTAAACCAGCAATTTGGGGAAAGAAACAATCACACTTATTTGGGGTTAAGCCTTCATCTAAGATACCCATGGGTTCCCTGAATTGTAAATGGGTGAAATCACTTAGTTCAAAGGCTTTTCTTACAACTAGCCCTATTATTTTCACTGGGATGAGGATGAGAAATGAGAGTGGGATCTTGCAAGAAAAAAAACCCTTGCACTGTAATCAGGGCGTTGGCTGCTTGCTGGACAAACAGAGAGGAAGGCACAGAGGTACTGATGATAAAATCTGGACGCAGAAATATGTCACCACATATTTCTTTGTGGTGACATTTGCAGAAAAAAAAAAACAAATCAACAGAAGATGTTGATTGTACACCCCACTCCCCCCAAATGCCTAATCCAGGTTTTTGCAAGGGTTTAGAATCCCATTTGTAAGTGCTCAGCAACCAGCTGCTTCTCTTGTGTCACTTGTGGTCAGATTTTCAAACCATATCAATACCCTCCAGGAGCACTGTGACATGCAATCTGCTCCCTGTCTCCAAGGAGGCAAAATTGCTTTGAAAATCTGGCCCAGATGGTCAATGTCAATCAATTTTGGAAAAGTCTATAATGCCCAGCAAGTACCAAGTTATGCATCTCAGAACGATGAACGAAGCGGTGACTCCAGGAAGGACCTGGACCTTATTGTCTTTCATAGGGTGAGGAATTCATGCCAAATCTCTCACTACAGTTCTTTCTATTGGCATAAACTTCGATTCTCCAAGGTATTAATTTGAATTACTCTTTTTGGTTTCTTTGAGAGTTAATTGCCTAAATTGCATCTGGAGACACAGACCCTCGTCAATCTATTTATCTGTGTTTATCCCTCCATCCATCTGCTTTATTTCACTTGATTATTCACATCCCATCATTTGGTGGTTGCTTTCAGAGTTTCTGTGTCAGGTGCAGCATTTCCATGTCTTTTTTTCTGAGCAGTGTTGACAATTCTCACTATCAGGATATTATAGGTTGAAAGCTTTTGTCTTCCTGTGTGCACACACTCTCTCTATATGTTTAAATGAACATCTAGAGGTAAAAAGAAGGCAGGAAGTGAACGATGCAATTACTCCAGCTGTCTTTAATCTCAGCCCTTGTACATAGCACTGTTCAGAGAAAGAACACTAACCCTGCAGACACAGACCTGTCACGGCGCCTCAGTTTTTTGATTTACCATTCCCTTCCTGAGTGGGTGGGTGTGGACGTATCAGGAGTAGAAAAGAGACTGCACAGGCAAGAAGAGGCTGGTGG